CCCTCTCACGCGTCCCCCGCTCTCCCGATCTCTCCCTCTTCCACCCCTCTCTCTCTCACTCTCTCTTTATCGCAAGGAATGATTTAAAAAAACTTTTAGATACTCTGCAGCGAGCTGCTGGAATAAAATTTCATATAATATTAAAACGGCAAATACTATCGAAAAATTCAGAAATAATTTTTTTATGTAATTACAAAGTATCAATATCTAACATCACTAGCTGCGAGTATCCAATTATTATTTTCCATACAACATGCACTACACAGCACAGCATTTTTTCGTTTATCTTTTTTTATATCTTTTCATATATCTTTTATCTTATGTTTAATCTTTTGTCATATATAATCTCTTTAATTTTGTTTGTAATTAAATTCCTTTATGTATTTAATTTCCTTTTTTTCAATTTTAATTTTTGTTATGACTTTTAAGTTTAATATTGTTTAGCTTTTGTTACAATCACAACTGTCTTGTTTAATGTTTGAGGGAACTTTGTCCCAGAGCTCCAACAAACAACATTTCTCGCTTTCTATCTTCTTCTTTTCCTCTCTTATTCTGCCTGCACTCATACAACACTTCACGGACATAGCGATGCTTTAATTAACTCGATTGATCCAGGATGAAACGTTGATCCCTGTCTCGATGATTAAATTGTTATATATATAATTACTGCTGTAATATAATAAAAACCATTTGTAAATAAATATCAACTTGAATCGAAGAATTATTATTTCCATTTGTTTAACGATCGTTTAGCAGCGAATATCTCAATAGAATCTCAGCGATGCAATAATATACGACTGTATAGATATTTCAATGAATTTATGATGTACCATTTTTGCAGTATCAATGTCTCAAAGGATCGATTGACGAAGTATAATTTTTATATGTTTATATCCTTTAGACAAATGTGTACATATACTTTCTCAACAAGATTAAATATTAGCGAACGAGCCCGCGTCCAACAGACTCAGTCTATCTCAGGGGGTTAATATCGTACGAGTGAATACGAGCGTGCGCCTCGCATCACCCTCCAAATCCAATGAAAGCCGCGGAACTAATCGGTGCGGGGGAGGAGGGGATGAAGAAAATCTCGAGGGCAAGGTGGAGTTTCCTCCGAGCCCCCTGCTCGTCGTGTTTTATTTCTGATAGCGACGCCTCCGTCGCCGCCACGAGGACATTATCGCCACCGCGAAGGACCCTTTCTTCCCCCATAAAGGCAATCACGCTTTCTCCGTGGCGAGATAACGGCGAGAATGGCGACCGGGAGACGTTTCCACCGTGGCGGCACGTTCCGTGCCTCTTTCCCCCCGTTAACAGTCGCAGTCGGTGGGATTTTGTCGCGGTCGATTTCGCGAAAGTCGAAGCGTTTCCAGTTGAAAAATCGAAATGCAGTCTTATCCGTAGATCTGCGAAGCGGTATAGAGTAAGATTGCCATCGACGTCAACCTCGCCATCATTTAATATTGTGTGTATTTTTTTGTTTTTCATTGAAAAAATTAGAAGCGCTACGAAATTTCGCACAACATCCAGCCATTTAGAATCCATCCAGCTTTATAGCGAAACATAGAGTATTATTTGCGAGTGGCAAGTTTCACTTCGCTAATAACTCCAGCCAGTTGCTGAAACGACGATGACGACATAGTGAGGGAGGGGAGAACGGTAAGTTTTACGGGTGGCGTGCAAAGATGTGGAAAGAAAAGGACCAAGAGAGGGTAGCGACGACCAGCCACCCCCTCTGACCAGAGGAGTCTACGTGCCTCTCTCCATTAGTATGCGCGGAAGTGTGCCTCGCTCGATTGTGGCAGGTATTGTCGGCGAAGAATGTCCTCGTTGCGCAGAGCTCCGCGGCTCCGGACTATTCGCGTAAGGAGACGAAAGGAGGTGGATTCGAGTGAAATGTAATCACTCTCCAAGAGCGTCGGCAGAAACTCCAACAACCGTAGTTCATTCGACGACTGAGAAAAGGACCACATAGGATATGGCTGACAACACTACGTGTCGGTGCAGATATAGGCTTCCTTAGACGTAACACCACCTCTTAGAACGCCAGAACAGGACGCTCTGATCTTCCATCGCAAAATAGGAGAAACTCTGACATCCAATCACTCGCGTCTACGATTCTCTCTGTCTACCTAAACCAGCCTGAAACACAATCCATTAATCACCACCCACTAATCTACCACTCCACTAATATACATACGAACAAGGTGTAAAGGATGATGTCCGCTAATGGTATCTTGATAGCCCATGTCAGATACTTCCCCCGCGAAGCCGAGACGAAATCTGATTCACCACTTACCGAAATTAGCCCGAAACATAGGATCTCTCTTCGGGATTCCCGCGTCTCGTCGAGGGGAAGAACGGACGTTTTAATTGCATCGCTCGACGGCGCGCGCGCTCACGTTCGCTCAGTGATATCAGTCGCGCTTTTATGCACGACGAGGAGAGGAGGCGCGATCGTTTGATTGCGGAAAATGACGGGCGGCGCGGTGGGCGCGAGTGGAAGTTTTGAGTGGGCGTCGGTCCCGGCAGACAATGAGGCATTCAAGCGCGGCATTGTGCCGGCCGACAACTGCGTTACCCTAGACAAACCCGAAATCACCGGCGCTATCGCCGCTCCAGATCCGATTATGCGAATAATAAAAAGCGAGATGACAGAGAAAGAGACAGAGAGAGGTAGAGGGAGAAAGGGAAGAAAAGGGGGAAAGAGAGAGAAAGATAAAGGAGGGGGAGGAAGAACATGAAAGATAGGGATGGGCACACTAAAGATTGATAATAGCGCATAGCTGATACTTCCTTCGTCGTCCTACGTTGAACATTTTCCGTATTATGCATCTCGTATACTCTTTATGTTGTACATCAAACTTTTAGAAAAAAAATCTACCAAAAAATCTGAAATTAACTCTCTGTTCGTGAAGAAGAGAGCTAATGACGAAAATGCTAAAAGATGTGAGTAGAAATTTTGCGAAGTTGACAACAAATTTCTAACTTCTACTCGATATCTCGGCGATTAGACATGAGATTAAGTTACCTCACGATACAATACAGTTTTTGAAAGACTCGATTTTTCAATAGTATTTTCTATTTAGAAATGAATTGAATTTAAACTCTGTTCTAACAACATGTAGCAAACACTGTAAAAATTTGTACAAATTTGATGTGCTTGAACAGAATTCGAACTTAAATCTGAATTTGAGCTATTATTGGAAAATCGGTCATAAAACAGAGACGTCTGTTCAGATCTGAAGCTCCTCTCGCGGACAATTAACGTGTACGGATCGATAGGTAACGTTTTGGATACGCGACTTACGCCGGCGTCCCGTCGCAGAAGCCGCGTCGTGAACGACGCGTAATTATGCATTAGAAAGGGGATCGTCAAGTCCGGCCGAAGTTGGCGGACTTGGTTAATTAGGAACGGTAGTCAGACGCTGCCTGCCATTGTCCGGCGCTGTTGACTTCCGGCCTCCGCGCCCGTCTGTCTCACCTCTCCGGCCCTTGCCCCCTGCCCTACTCCTCTTTTCATCCCCCCGCGCGAGAGGAGGCGAGGGCTGATTGTTTCATTGTTTCCGACCCCACTGTCAAATGCCACCGGCCTGAATGGGGTTATTGTTGTTTCAGGCTGCGCCGCAGACAATTCTCGAGGTTTTCAGGGTGCGCCCGGGCTGACACCCGAAGCGCGCGACTTTCACTACCGTCCTTTCTTCGACCATCATCCCTCCGCGCGCGATATTTTTATTAGGGAAGATACGTATAGTTATTGTGTTTCTCGCGCTTCTTCTCAGGGTGGGGGCTAAGTGGTAGCTTCGTGAAAAAATATCTAGCAGTATTCGATGACGGTGCGATTTCCGACGCTGATTTCTAACACCTTTGCAATGTGTAAAGGCAATAACGGTCGCGAATAGTGGTGATTTTTATCCAAATGACCAAATGGCTAAAATTTTTTTAAAGTAAATTGGGGGTTTAACCCTTTCTGCGTTAAAGTCACTTTTAAACGTTTTATTGTTTACCAGCCAAAATTGTTAAGCATGTAGGGATTTTTACGAAGGATTCATGACCGATATCTTTATAGTCAGGCACAATTTTTTTTTCTCGACCTTCTATCATCGGCAAAAAACGATTGATACATTTTATTGAATAAAAGCATGCCCAACTATAAAAATATCGATCTTGAAACCTTCGCAAAAATGTCCACGAACTTATTATATCAAACAACCATATATTTTTATTCTTGCTTTTGTCAATTTAAATGGACACGTTTGTCCCACGCAAAACGCAAGTGTCAGTTAAATGCCAACGCAAGTGGGTAATCTGAAATTCAATGCTGGTTCCACGTGGATGAAAGTGTCGGGCACGAAAACCGTGGTTGTAAATTTCTCAATTGAAAACTCGATAGCAATCTCGGTCCTGTATCTGTGGATGGAAACGGCTTCGAGGTATCCTGTACGTAACTAAATCGGCGAGCTCGCTGCTTTGAAATGTGTTTCGCGGCGAGACACCATACACAAGGATGAGCGTGCAAATGCATCGAGGTCCGGCCCGGGCTGTTCGTCTTCGCCTGGGCACTGGCAAACGTCGTTCGCGCCCGACCCCCGATCTTACTCTCACCCCGAAAAGAGAGTGAGACCGGTAAAATACTGGCCGGGGCAACATTTCACGGACGGATCGCCGTGACCGGCGCGCGATAGGATCGTCGCATTTCCCGTGGACGCTCATATATAAGGCGAACTTATGCCGAGCGTAAATTCCCGGAGCGGGCGCTATCTTATCGCGGCCGCGGTTTGCAAGGCGCCGATAGAGACCATGCCCAGACATTATGCGAGATTGAAAAACCTGAGAGGCTTCTTTCGGCCGCGTGTCGGACTTCCGGTCAGCGACGACAGCGGCGACGACGGCGGCGTCAGCTCTCGACGTCATGAGGGTCGGGAGATTGAGTTCGCGGATAAG